GGCCCGGCCCGGGGGGGGCTGGTCCGGCCCGGCCCCCGCTGGCCGCTTCTCCTCTGCCCCTGTCTCTGCTTCCCTGCCCCTTCTCCTCTTCCCCCCGCTTTCTCGCCTTCTGCCGCCTTGCCTCCGTCTCCCAGCGCAGGGACGCTGTCAGCATGGGCAAGAGCGGGGAGGCAAGGGGCTGCTGCTCTGTCTCCTCCTCTAGAAACCCGCATTCAGCCGGAGCCGCCTTTGGCTGCCTCCCCTGATCCCCCGCAGGGAGGGACTGGGGGCTTCTGGCATTGCAGAGGCTTAATTGACTAGCAAGGTCACTAATTTCGGCTCCTGGAGGTAAGTCCTGGTTAACGGCTCATTTTCCTCTCTCCCTCAGTTCTCACACCCCTCTCCCATCTGTCTGTCTCTCTCATTCTCTCTCCAGTGCCATCAATCAACCCTTCCCCCCCCCCCACGGCACCAGCGATGCCCCAAAACCCAGAAAGATGCGTCAGCATTTTGCCTCCCACGAGCCCCAGTAACCCAACCGCGGTCTCATCTGCTCCCCGCCCTCCGGCTCCGCTGCTTGGAGAAAAGTGAGGAACAATAGGATTGCCGGAGCGCTCCCTGACTCCACCATTGCGGGGCTAGGGGAGGAAGGGGAAAGGGTGGTGGGAGGAAGGAAGAGATCCTTTCTCCCCTGCTTTGGGAACACGCCTCCAGAGCAGCCGGAGGTGGGGAGGGTGCTCAGTCCCCATCAGCCTCTGTGCAACTTGTAGCAATAGCAGCACGCTGGGGAAGGGGAGGGGGGAAAGGGTGTGTGTGATGGGGGCTGTTGCTCCAACCTGATCGAGTCCATTTGCCAATTCACCAGTCGCATCACTTCCGGATCAGTCCTCAGTTTCTGCTGCAGAGTGAGGATTTTTTTTTTTTTTTTCTCTCTCTCCTTCTCCCTCCCTCCCCATCTGGATGCTGGGAACTTGAAACCTCCCCCCTTGATTGCAGCAGGATCTGCCCCAACCTTCCCTTAACTTTGCACTGCATCAAAGAAAACAGAGCGAGCCACAGGCTATATTGTACTGATGGGGGCAGGGGATCTGCCAGGCACAGCCCTTTGCTATTGATGTTGCTGTATCTCTAGGACCCAGAGCGATCTCTCTCTCTTTTTTTTTTTTTTCCCCTCTCTCCTCTTTTCGTGTGTGTGTGTGTGTGTGAAGGATCCTCCTGGTTACCGCTGTTATTATTTTCCCTTAGCAGGGAGACCACACGAGCCATGGCTGAGAGGAAGCAGTCTGGCCGGCAGGGCGAGGAAGAAGAAGTGCCGGCCTTCTTCAAAAACCTGGGCTCGGGCAGTCCCAAGCCCCGGCAGAAATTCTGTGGCATGTTCTGCCCAGTGGAAGGCTCCCTGGAGAACAAGACCATCGACTTTGACTCCCTCTCGGTGGGCCGCGGATCTAACAAAGTCGTGGCAAAGCAGAAGGATGTTGCCCACCTGGGTCCGGATGCTCAGTCCGTCTATTCCAGGCAGAGCGGGAAGGGAGGGGAACCATCTGTTGATTTCGGGAGAAAGGTGGAGATCAGGAGTGCCACTGGGAAGGAGGCGCTGCAGAACCTGAATGACAAGGTGGGTACATATGTGTGTGTGTGAGAGAGATGCAACTTGAACACGCGATAGGCTGCGGAAGGGATGTATCCTTTCCACCCTGCAGTTTCTTGCTTTTATGTCACTTGCATGTATGTGGCAGTCAATGTCTTCCTCTAAGCAGCAGCATCTCTCCTAGAGCCTTCTTGCCAGACCTCTAATGTTATCCGTGTGCTCTCTGCAGGTGTGTGTGTATGTGCACAGGGAGGAGGGCAGAAGAAGAAAGGAACCCCCGCACCCACAAACACCCTCCCTTTCCCTGCCCTGCCTTCCTATTTGGTGATAGAGACCGACTTTTTTGTTTCTTAGGCGATTCCCCCTAGTACAACGGTAGCAAAATGCCCCACCCAGCTAGTGAATGCAGCTCACAGGAACAGAAATGCAATTGTTAGCAAAAGAGCATCAGTGAGCCTCCACCTACGGGGATCAAATCCCTGCAGGCTTCTTCCAGGGGAAACTCCTACCCCCTCCTCCCAGGGAAGGACAGACCAGAGTGACCCTTGGGAGGTGTATTTCAATAGCAATTCTGATCAAGGCCTTTGGCTACAGTGGGAATTTTTGACTCGGGAAGATCTGGGACTTTCACAGGAATGTGGCGGTCTCTTAGAAACCCACCGAACTCCTCCCAGTCTTTTAAGACTCCTGAAGCTATTTTCTCACTCTCGGTATGTGTCATGGTGTAATAAAGCCTATCCTCTTCCTGAGGCAAAACCCACTCAACCCACAGGTCTAGCTGGCCATGCACATTTGTTTTCCTCGATAAATAGATTTAAGCAAGCTTTATTCATATCTGAGCCATGAAATACTCTGTGAGTTCCTCTGACAATGCTGGCTCCTATGCATAGGCTGCAAGAGCGGAAATGATTGAAGCACCAACCTGCAAACTGATAAACTTCTAGCATACTGGGAAAGAATTTCTGTGAGTAGTCCCCCAGCGGGTTTACGGAGCGGTCCGTTCTTCTGGAAAGTGTTTCTAGGATGTGCCTCCTAATTTTTATTAATAGTATGGATTGCATATACAGGGCAGAAGTCTACCTGGAATTTATAATAGGGGCTTGTTCGCCACTTTCTCCTGCTTTCAGAAATGTGAAATACTACTAGGAGTATTACTGGGGGCTTATCCTCCCCAAATCAGACCCTGCTCTGCTTCTTCCTACTACAGTAACCGAAGGGCTCCATCCAGCCATGTTTGCATGCGTGAACAACTGCCATTTACAGTGAGATCACAAAGGTAGGCCCTGATTGTCAGAAGAACTATGCACCAACGTTTAATTAGGAGTGGGATATGCTCCATGCTGCTTCAAACCTGATTTGGCAAACAAAAGTTTGCCACTACAAATGTCTATGCTTTGATTTGACCGTGTTGAAGTGCCTACTAATTGAGTAACTTTCTGTGATTAATTAGTCTTGTTGGACTAACCAAGGTGCATCTCGAGTAAAGGGCATACACCTTTTCAGCTTGAGGAGTCAAAGGTTTTGTAATTCAGGACATTTTCAGGACTAATTTCGGACAATTTGATGTGGTGATATCCTGTGGGACATAAATATAAACGGGTGATACATTAATTCTGAAAAGATGAATTATTTTGTGATTGAAGGGTACCAGTATAATAAAAAACTGTAAGTATAACATGGTGAAAAATCAGAAGTCCATACAGAATATTAATCACATTTTTTAAAAAGTGTGTTTTTTGGTTCTATTTTTAAAGATTGTAGTATAAATGTTAACTGAGGGTATGAAATAATGTGATAGTACAAAATATTTGAGTTGTTTCTCATTAGCTTTACATAACACTGATGCCAATGGATTACGTTGTGAGGGGCTGTGAGCATTTGGGTAAGTGCAGTCTTTTAATATAAATGTCTTGCTATGGATTGGCACTTTATTGCAGGAGTATTTTAGCTTTGATGGTTTTCCAGTTGACTGCATCTATAGCTTGAATCAGTGATCAGATCCTCAGCAGGTAAAACTGGCTTTACTTCAGTGTAGTTAATAGAAATGTGTTTATGATGATAATCAAAGCTCAACATATTAAAAAAAAGGTAAAGAAAAATAATGTTGCAGGAAGTGGCATTAAAGGATAGGATCAAAATAATTTCAGATAGGAGTTAAAAGGCTTCTGAAGTTTTGCAACGGAATTTGGCCCATTATTTTCAAACTTCTGTCTTAAGCATTTAATAACACATCTGAAATAGGTTCTCCTTGGATAGACTGTACCCTATTTCCATGTGATAGGAATCTAAATTATAGTGGAAAGGAACAGTACACTAATTTATAGAATCTTGAATTTATAACTTGCATAAATTATTTCACAATAGGCTAGAAATCTTACTGCTTCTTTTTCTTCAGCTTGAGGCTGACAATAGTTGTAGTTTTTGTCAATACATGTAACAATCAACGTACAGGATGGTCCATGCTCTGTTTCAGCAACCAAAGAACCATATCGTGAGCTGATGGGAATGGGTGCCGATCAACTGGAGGCAATGGAGATAGGTGGAAGTATTTTAGCCAGTGATTGGATCCAAAGTGGGTTTAAAACAGTCATCCTTTCTGTCACTGTATAGAAAGATCTTGTATTAATCTCCACTGAAATAATTAACAAAGCAAGATGGACAAGCTATTTTTCATTTTTCTGAGGTCTTAACTGTCCAGAGGATAAAAAAAGGAATGTAATTATTCCACATTAAATTGCAATATATTGTTCTGCAGGCAAAGATAAGGGTAATCAAATCTCTTTGTGTCTATCCTGTCTAGGGTATTCTACAGGCATCTATCATGGCCTCGCTTTATTGCCTCTGGGCCATGCTGCCTCATAATTCAGGGTTAAGATCATCTCTAGAGGCACCAGGAAGGCTCTCTATCTTAGTTTAAGCAGCTCTTTACAGTTAGGCCTCTAGAGGCAGCGTGATCTATTCAACAGGTCTGCAACTCAGCAGATCTGAGGCAAGCTCTGCTACTTCCCAGCTGTCAGGCCTTGGAGAATTAACTGTGCTTCTATCTCCCATCTTAAACTTTGTCGTCTTCCCAGTTTAGACTGTTAATGCCTGGTCCTGTAGCTACTTGTTCAGTGTCTGAGCTCTGCTTAGTGCTTTGAGGCCCTGACCTCAGCTGGGCCATCACTGCGGTCTAACAAGAATGTCATGTTCAAACCCAGGATTTCTTGAATGAGACAATAAACACTTGGCCTGGCTTTCATGAATTGCTGTGCACGTGCAAGCCTGTTTCCTACAGTGGGATTTGGTATTCAGATAGCATCAGGGCAGGGACCTGTGGAATTTACTCATAGCACTGCTTTGTAGTAGTCAGTGCAGAAGCTGCAAGCTACCTCGCCTGAGAGCAGGGGGACTGATAAAATGGCTTCCCAGGGCATTAGTCATCTATTCCTTAAGTGAACGGTCTTGAGACACATGCATTCATCTGGGTTTTGAAAAACCCTGGCCATTGCTTGCTTGACCTGGGTCGTTTCTCTGTGTGTATTTCCCAGATTTCCCGCATGTATAATTGGTATTCCTTCTGTCTTCCTCATCTGTTGAGATACTTCAGGACAGAGACGGTCTTTTAGGGAACATCTATAGGGAAAAGCGAGGTTTGATTGCAAGAGGGATCAGCAAGCCTGGGGCTTGCTTTAATCTAGTTTGCATAGAGAGCCTGAGTAGGTGCTAAGACATTTCAAGAAAAGTACAAGCCCTGGGATCCCAGGTTTCTTCTTAACTTGCTAGCTAAAGTTCCCATTGCCATCTTGTCGTTACTCTGGTGATTCAGGTGGTTCCCCTGTGCAACAAACAGTCATCTTTATATACCTTTTTTTGCATCCCTTAGAAACAGTTCACGGACCTTTGGGAAGTGCAGAGCACTGGGTGTAAACTACTGGTTTAAAACAACAAAGCTATGTCCTACTGTGATAAAAGTAACAATAATGAATAAACAGAGACTAGGAAAATATTTTTATTTTAGAATTGACGGGAGACTAATCGCTTGCAAAACACAGTTTCATGAAGCTTTTGACATGACTGGACTTTTTGCTAAAACCTCAAAGCTCTCAAGATCATGGTTGTTCATTCCTGGAGAGAAATAATGAATAACAGGACATTGTTGAGAGCTCAAATAATCATAGACTCTGGAACATTAATGGAACTGTTGTGTAAAACAAAGCAGCTGTTCCAGACAGTTGGAAATGCAGTTCTGAGTTTAATTTGTTATGATGCCTGTAATTTTTCTAGCCTTGTTTCGATGATCATTGCTTGCAAAATAATCATACAGGAGGATGATTTGCATGTTCTTCCAATGGATCATAATAGTTTGTCTGACTACTGAAAAATAAACCCATAGAGAAACTAACAGTGATAAGCAGAAATGCCAGATTCCTCTTAACTTCTTAGATCCCTCTCAAAGCCATCAATCTGCATAGCTGGAATGTGATGTCCATCCAACGGGCATCTTGTGGAGTGGTCTGTTAGTGTTATGTCAGGAATTTACCAATACCACTCTCTCTCATGCAGAAATGTGCAAGGGGCTTTGATACAGGGCCAACTTATTATTTGGGCTAAAGACTGGAGGGAAAACTTAAACACCTGGGGCTGGATCTCCCCACCCAGTTTGGAGCTGAGCCAATTCAGAGGTCTGGTCCTTGAGCAGCACCATGCGATGCAGGCTTTATCTCAGGGGATAGATACAGTACCTGGCACAACGAGACTGGCAGCTTTGCATGCCACCCTTATGCCAGTGCTGTGGCCATCATTTGACATGAGCCATCTGTTTTTAGTAGGTGCTGAGTAGTTGTTTAGGTCTGCCTGAAATTTTTCACCTGCAGGACCATGTTTAACTCCCCGTATCATTTGTGTGTCTTGTGGCACATGAAATCTGAGTCTATCTTCTGTGGTGGTGTTACAAAGTTGGGAAATGATGTAGGCAGCAAAGCTCACGTGAAGTTGATGTGTGTGTTCTGCATGAACTCTCTTACCCTAAAAAGGGACAGCATCTG